TTAATTATATTAGAAGTCATTAGAAAATTAAACAAATTTAATAAACTTTATTATCCAAATATTTCTTTCCAAATGTCTCGTTTTCTTGAAAAAACCGCGGTAGAAATGATTCATCCTGTACTGTTCTAAAAAATATTCGATATCTTATAACACGCTTTGTTTCACGTGAATGACGAACGTTCAGCGTTCATGAGTACGTGTTGTCGAATGATCAAGGACTTTTCAAAGTGTTCATGAGCGAAAATATTTAGATAACGATTCAAATATAATGTTCCTCCCAAGTTTCTGCAGATAAGAATATTAATGATGTGTATTATTTTAGTTGTCATTTTATTATTTCTTACGTCTAGCATTCTAGCGCATTGAACTTCAATATTTTATATTACTTTTTTTTAAATACATAATAATAAGAAAATCAACGTATATATAAATCTTAGTTAATATATATAAATATCATAAATAAATCGTTATGGAACTTCACGTAAATTCGCAACTATTGACGTGCAGTCGACAATGCAATTTTCTGATCAAACCTGCATGTTTGTTTTCTATTCTTTGTACGCACGATGATGGATGAAAAGCGTTATAATTGCGTGATATTGTTAAACAAATGGTAATTTCCGTAACACCTTTGCTCGTTCAATCATCGTGTTCACTTTGCACGTCATCTCGATTTATTTAACCGTCAAATGTGAGTTAATTGCGTCATACTTTTCTGTGTCACGAGGGTCAATTTCGTTCTTCAAAATGTTCTTTTTTAATAGATGCCCCAACCTGCCTCTTTCAGTTTTGACCTTTTTAAATCTGCACAAAATCTTTAATACATATATAGCCTATTGAGATGAAACAGATTATTAATGAAACATTTGTTATGATATATAAACGACACCTGAGCATGTATTATACCCTGTGGAAGTTTTCTGACATATGCGAGAAGATAAATCGATGGAGATTCTTAACTACGCCGAAGTTCGAACCAAATACAGCTATCGACAAACAGCAGAAAGGGACAATTGAGCACATCTCCGTTCATTCACCGTTTATTGTGCGGATAGAGGGTTGAGCAAATTGGCGGAGGATTTATTTTAACTACGAGAGTGCAACTTCCATCCGCGGTAATTTTTCGAAGCCCTGCAATGTCATGGAATGTACCTTTCCAGTCGCCCCACCCAGGCCGAAAACCGCCTGACATAAATAGCGGTCGCAACGACGGACGGACCCGTGTCAGTTGTTGAAATTCCTGTGCGAGTACGCGAAGCATTGCTGGGCATTGCATCTTACCCAAGCACGCTAGTCTCTTCGACGAAGCTGTAAAATCGAGATAATCGATTCGTATAAGCAAGTAGAGAACTCATCGACGACGTCATGTATCTCCTGCCGCTGATGTTATCGAATCTCCATCTGGGCCTGGACGCACCCGTCGGCTCGCTGAACCTAAATCTCGGTAAACCGAGCTTTGTCCGATCGAAAGACTTTACCTCTCGCGTTCCCGATCGCTACTACCCGACCGCCAGTTTCGAGCGCGAAGTACTGGATTTCGTCAGACCCTGGGCTGACCTCGGGGCGGACCTACTGAAAGCTGGGCTGAAAGTGCTGAACAATAGGCATCAGCAACAATATCACGTCCCCGATCACGTGATCAGGGACAGGAATCACACGAACATTGACGACAACGTCTTCAAGATAACCCTACCTATGAACCGTATACATGAGATCAACGTCGAAGTGGTGGATCGTTCGTTGGTCGTCGAGGCGTTCGAGCCGACGAAAGACAACGGCAACGTCTTTACCCGGCAGTTCGTCAGAAAATATATGCTACCCAGTCGCGCTCAAGTGGACCAGATAAAGGCCACGAAAGACGACGGCTTCCTGATAGTCACGGTGCCGTTGAAGCCGAAGGATGAGAGAGTGATCAAGATCGAGTAGACTGGAAAGCCGGCCGTTCATCCTAACAGCCAGAAAGAGGCTGGCGAGTCCGAAACGGTCCCGGCCCGCCCGGCCGTCGAGAGGAAGTCGGAGGACAACGAGGTATAGATCGGGAGGAAGTGACGGCGACGCAGGCACAGAAAGCAGGACCGAAGCCCGAAAAATGATAGACTGAATTACGGAATCTTTTTTTTTTTCGTTCTATTTGATACGTAATTTTGCACACGTAATTTTGTTGTTTTACACTTTGCACTTACTCCTACAAAACTGCGTTCCTCGCTCTGTTGGCTATAACTATAATACATTCCTTATTGTATTATAGTTACATTGCATTATAGTATATATTATACTCTTTTTATTGTATATATATTACCGATTATGAGATGCTTAGTGCCATAGTAATCCATCCTTGAGAGAAATGTAGTTGTGTGTGTTTTTATATTGATGATAAAATAAACGGGTTTTTATCAGCATCCAACGTTATTATTTAGTTCCTTCATATCGTTCAGATAATGTTATGTTTGTTTAATAGAAATTATATTTACATAATACAAAAAAATATACGCGCATATTCCTACATAATTTTTCTTATACATTCACACTGAGTATTTTTAAACTGCTAATAATCGGATTGTTCGTTTTCGCTGCACTTCTGAACTAGTGCAACATAGTGCAATGTGTTAGAATGAAACAAATATATTTTCTTTTATTTTAACTTTTTGCATTAGGTCAGAAGTGCAACGAAAATGAACAGGCCTCTCGATAACGTTTCAGAGAATTCGAATTTCTAAAAAAAAAAGATCAATAGAAATTGCTTGCTATATCAAATTTCAACCCAATAGCTTACGGTAAATAAGAAGAAACGCAATTGAGCGCATCTCGCATCTCCCTTTGTCTATCAATAGAAAAAGAAAAGGCAGTCGAGTGTATGTGTCCGTCGGCTATTAATTACTGACTGCAGTAAATACGCAGAAGCAGCGAGAAGGCTCTACTTTATACTAAACGAAAATAGAACGCAGAAATAGTCTCTAAGGTGCGACTCTCCGTAGGTCCTTACCCCGCAGATTTACTAGAGTTCGTTCTATAAATGTTTTGTCGAGGTCAAGTTAAGCTTGCATGCGATATGATGCTCACAGCTCCATCAGCTGAGTCATAACTACTCATCGAGAATAATAATTAAAATAATGTTCACACAATACATATTTTTAATAAATTTTAAATATACAGATTTCTCTGCTGCAAGTAAAAAATCTAACAATATAATCATTTAAGAATAGTGTTAGATAATAACAAAAAAGAAGACCCAAGATATATTTAGGAGATAGGATATCTTCGGGATATCTTTTGGACGTCTTTTTGTTATGCATGCTATGTGGGGAATACGAGAAACATGAAACGATATTTCTAAAAGTTTTTAGAATTTGCTTGACTGTGATGAAAAATAAGATGAGAAATCATTTAATTCACGATGGTTATCGTGCCAATGATATGCTAATCGTTCTATCGTTAAGTAATATATTTGTAGAAAAAGATTTTATTTGTAGAAAAATCTAGGAGAAATCCGAGAATTTTTTAATACTTTATTTATGCAACAATCGTTTCGTCTGTGAAATAATTCAACATCTGCAGTTGGATCATTTAAAATTTAAGAACGATAATCGATTTGGTACTTATTTATTATACGGGCGCCACTTTCAATTTTTTTTCTACTTGAAAGCAATTAATCTATTTACACTAATTGTTGAAATAATGACAAGAAAATTTAGTTATATATTTTAGAAGTGGCGACCGTATTATGAATAAGTACCGTCGATTCCATTTATTGTTAGTCTAGACTTCTAGACTCCAACATCACCTTGATACTTATCATTATTTTATCTGCTTATTATTTGGTGCACACATGTGCTTTGCAAACAGTGCCACGTAACTGTCTATATAATGACAGGAAAAATCCAGAAGAGTCGCTTTAGCGATGAAGCGTTTTATTAGGTCATATCGATTCGAAAAATATAATAAAATAAAATAGCTGTTACTGCCGAATTAAATTTCGAAAATTTCCGTATTTCTGCGATTGACTCGATAATATTCAGCAGCAGTTGAACAGAGATTCTCTCCCTCTCTCTCTCTCGCCGCACTGTTTATGTACGGACCCAAGGACATCGCAGCGAGATTAAACGATTATATCTCGACAAATATTCGCTGGTATCCAGGTAACAAAACATTCTCGACTTATAATTAAAACTGTGTTTTAAATTGTTTCTTTTTCCCGTATAATTATTTAAACAATCTTATCGACTAAAATGTTTAACTTCTAAAAATATATTTAATTTGACAGAATAATTTATTATTATTCACTATATATTAACGCAGCAAGCGCGCATATAATAATTAGATCAATAATAATAATAGAAATAATAATAAATACATTATATGCATTGATAATAATAAAAATAAAATCGTCAGTTGTAGGTGTAAAAATGCAAGTGTAAAGAGAAACGTTTAAAAGACAAAAGTAGTAAAAAGATGTAATCTCTTTCAGCCTTCAGAAATTTGTTAAAACGTTCGTTAAAACGTTTTGTATTCTTATCACTTGCCGTGACAGGTAATCGCGCGCTTCCGTAGAAACAAATAGAAACATTGAATTGCTCACATACAGCGCACGTGTAACAATAGAATTGTTGCCCAGACTTTCGTTAAAAAAAAAAAATAATAATAATCTGCAACATAATTGAGCACAATCTGTTGCGTCATTAACCCAATTCTTATTTTTTATAGCCTTGACTTATTTGTTTATATGTATACGTTCAATAATAATTTCTAGCAAATCATTTAATTTAACTAGAATAGATTCGAGAAGTGAATCTGTTGCATGATTATATAATATTACATTCAATCAGTCTCTAATTTGATTGAATAATTAAAGTGAAAAACCTATCGTTCGTATCCGCTTTTATTAGAATAAATCAAAATTTTTTATAATATCCCTATTCACTCCAACTAGCCCTTTCGTGTCCCCACGAGTTTTTAATCCTCGCATCATAACTCACGAACGAATTGACGATATCAAATAATTCATTAACAGTCGCAGTCTTTCGAAATCAAAAGTTTCAGCTTTTTTTAGCATATCCGTTTTACGATTCATGCATTCGAGATAAAACGTCGTAATTTCTCGATCAGACCAGCGCGCGGCGCGGCGTAATTTCTCGATCAGCTGATCGAAAATGTCATTTATTTTTGCCTGAGATCTTTTAGGTCTTATGTCCCTTAGATTCCTTGGATCTCATATCCCTCAGATCTCTAAGAAAACAACGACCCTTTATGATTACTCCACTGTGAAGAATCGAAACCGGTATATTTCCGTTGAATTCAACTACCGGCGTCT